TTTTTTAAAACACGACCTCCTGAAGCAAGCCCTAGCACACGGCGGTTCCTCAAGGGGAAACTGATAATCCGGTTTCCACGACAACAGGGTTGTGCAACCTTATCTCCCTCGCTTCACCATCTGAGGGCATAAACACAGACGAGAAGCCTCTGCTTCAGCTGCTGGAGGAGCACAACCTCCCCTGCGGGCTGTCAGCACGGCCAAGCCCGGTACCACAGCCCCATGCAGCCAGCGCTGCGCTCCCCCGACCCCGAGCTGCCCCCAGCAGGGGCTGTGGGACTGCAGGGGCAACAAACCCGGCGAAATGGCGCCCGCCCCCACAGGATGGCCGCCCCCCGGCCGCCCCTCGCTCACCTCCGCAGCGCCGCCGGCCCGCGCCCAGGCTCCGCCGCCAGCCCGCGGCTGCTGACGGCACCGGGAGCGGCCCCGCCCCGCCCCGGCACCGGGCCCGGCCCCCTGCGGGCCCCGCACGGCCCGCCCCGAGCCGCAGCCGCACGGCCGCCTGGTCAACCCCGGCGCTGAGGGATAAAGGCAGCGAGGGGATTTAGGGAGGCGCACAGCTGCCTGGATATACCCCAAACCTGCCGTGTGAGATCTGCAAAGGGCTGCTTTATAAAAGCAAATCTCAGGTTATAGGCTATCTGTCCAGGCAAAGATTACAAAGCCACGCCCTGAATACTGGGAAAACAGCAGACGGAAGAACCGTGACTGAAAATGGAATGGGGGTCATAATGGAGAAGGAACTGAACACAAGGTCCCAACTTCACACTGGGACAAAACGCAACACACACCTAAGAAGCACAATCAATAGTTTACAAAGAAAGAAGAGAGGGCTTTACATATACAGAGATCACGCAAAACCCCTGTAACAGGGTCTTATCTCCTTACAACACCACCACATTTTTGTGATGGGACTGAGAGAGGCAGAACACAAGGTTTTAGGAACTCAATGTATGCATTTCCTCAAAAAATTTTATGGTATTTTTATTTAGTTCTGAACACATTGTCAGAAAAATAATATATTCCTCATCCTTCATGATAATGAAGGACAACACAATTTTACATTAGCACAGTTCTGATAAAACTTACGAATTACAAACCAGTTCCTAGACTCACTGTTTTCTCCCTATCTCCTTTTGCAATAACAGTAGCAATACTGTAAAAATCATTTTGGAGATCTTGTACCAAGTCACAGAGATTCACTTATTTCCTCTGCTACTGAAAATCTTTAAGAAATTATTTCCTTCCATCTCACCACAGCCCATTAGTACCTAGTTGTAAAAAAAAAAAAAAAAAAAATAGTGCATGAAAGCTTTCATCATAGGAAAAAACATCTCAGCTTGATATAAAAATAAATTCAATGTTTATCTGTTAAATACATCAACATTTCAAATCTATCACCTGTTATTAACATCATTAAGCAGCTATTAAGCTTCTCCCTTCAATGTTTAAGGGCATTATTAATCAACCTACTGTAAATACTGAAAATAAAGCACAGTTCACTTCAAGAAGCTACCTTCTACGTTTACAGATTTTTTTCCGGATAGAGTCAACCAAGTAAGTCACCGTGGAGTGCACCACTTACAGAAGTAATTGGTAAATAATTTTCTGAAGATAACTGCAGCAAAACTATGACAGAGACAGGTAAAGCAAAAATTCAGCATGCACATCTGGATAAAGAAAGAAGAAAGGATCTTAAAGTTTCTGGTTACTGTTCTGTCAGCTGTAGTTTATGATGGAAAACTCTGCCATGATCTTAGTTTTACACAATGGTCAATATATATACACATATACAATAAATATACATAACCTAAGCAATCACATATCGACTGCTAAGGCAGCAGAATTACTTGCTGAAATTCATCACGTCAGCAAAGCCGCTGCACTTCTGTATTTCAGAGTTTTCTAACAAGAGGTTTAAAGAACAGCCACCACTTAACACCTACATTCTGGGGCTGAATTTTTAGAAGATGACTTCAGGAAGTGCCTTTCTTATGAGCGTGGAGTGTCAATCCTGTTTGTTGTGGGTTTCCACTCAAATAATATTTTAAAAATGTCTACGTTGGAAAAAAATAAAGAAGTACCTTTCAAAAGTTCAGGCTCCATCATCCAACCTGCTACTCCCCAGAAACTTAGAAATGAAGAAAGGCTACATAACTTGTTTCTTGTATCAACCAGTAACGAAGGAAGCTTTTTGTAATACAAATACACGCGCTCAGGAAGTGGATGAGCTTTCAAGTAGTGATTATTTTTAAGATGCCATGTCCTTCCTCTTCAGAGGTGTTACTTAAATGTTACTCAGTGCATCCTTCTTAAATGCCAACCCCTTTCTTCCATGCCTCAGTACGTACAGGTGGGCCTTTAATAAACAGATTCTGCTTAAACAATGTGCTTACCTCTTTACCCTAACCAGCAAGAATTGTCTTAAAAATTTTGAAACCACAGTATGTGACTGAAACCTTTTTTTTAAGATCATGTGTGAGTAGCTCTGCAGTACGTGCGTACAGCTATGCAAATACAGAAGTGTTTGCAGGACTGGAGCAAGGAGAGAACGTGCTCCCTGACAAAATGCAATGCAGTAACAACAGACACGTCCCAAGATCAGGCTGAGCCCCAGTCTGCAGCGTGCAGCTCAAAGCATCCAGCACCCCTGAACTGCACCACCACGTGAAGCCAATGGGAGAAGTGAGGTTCAGCAATGAGAGGCTTTGGCAAGCTGCATCCTGCACTTCCCTGATAGGAATCATTACCACTGCGTGTAGGACTGGCTATAAAACACCCAAGAGCCTTTGGGCACCGTTTTGACCTTTTGTTCTCAGCAGTCCAATTGCACACGTTCCAAGACATTACATGGTCAATCTTGCAGAACCTTCCACGGGTTGGAAATCTGTATTTTTAAATAAAATAAAAAAACAACAGTGGAATAGCGTAACACACAAGACTTAATGTCAGATTGTTCAAAGGAAAACATTTTTCTGCAATAGAAGAAAGCTGCAATCATGTGCACAAGTTTGGAGCATTTAGGGCTTTCCATTAATAAAACAAATTATTTTTAGAAGTCACACAGGAAACACTAACAGCTTTCAAGTAGAACAGTGCTTAAACTCCCAAGGCAATTATATAATTACTCATTTTTTAGACAGAACATGATGTTACACAATATTGGAATTGAACAATGACAGTCTCTTGAGCACATCAGTATTTAGATGTGCAGTACACACATTTTTATGGTGGTCTAGATAACCTAGTGAACCATTAGCAAGTTTTGACACCAAAAAAATTATAACAGATCAACTCTTGTAAGACTTCTGTTAAATTCCTCATGAAATCCTGAAGCATTCAGCACCAAATGCTAGATGGATTTTCAACACTTGGATCAAGCCAATGACTGAAAATAGCTTCAGCTAGTCACCTGCCTGAGCTTTCCTGTCTGCTTCTTCCCCAAAGGAGCTTCCGCAGCACCATGGGGTGAAGCTCAGTGGTTAGGGCTGAGAGAAAGGAGCAGACCACATGGAGCGTCGAGCCTGTAGTCCCCTGCGGTAAGGCAGCCAGTGGAAGACTCCTTGAGTACCAAACCACATCCTGTTCCTACTCTGTAGCATTCACTCTAAGTGACATTCAATTATCTGCCAACTAGATTCAAATTTGGTTTTACTCCCATTTAATTTACCTTTTTCCGAAGGAGGCTTGTGAGTAATATTTTGAAATTAGAGCACTAATCATAGAAGCATTAAGGTAGGAAAAGCCCTCCAAGATCATCTGGCCCAACCACCCCCCTACCACCAATGTCACCCAGTAACCCATGTCCCTAAGCACCACATCCAACCTTTTCTTAAACACCCCCAGGGACGGTGATGCCACCACCTCCCTGGGCAAAGTTAAGATGTTTCAAACATATCACATCAATTTAGCTGTTTAGTATATATAAATAATACAGTACCTAGATTGTGGAAAACACATGTTTGCAGCACTTCAACAAATGAACTAGTTTTCACTTGATCATCAGAAAATGAAACTGTGACTTCAGTGCTGATGTGATTGCAAAAAATATGCAAATTCTACATATACAAGCAATATAGACATACTTTGACTTATCACAGAGTTGCTTAAGACAGAATTACATCATCAATATGCTCATTCACAAAGTCATTAATTTTATCATTGATGAAATGCAACAGTAAGTGTTGCATCCATCTGGTCAGACTGAATATAAATCAGCTACATGGTTGCAAGTTTTAGCCAAGAAAAGAAGTTACTATGCTCTCTCCCTTCTCACTCTTTCCTAATCTTGCTTCTAATCAGCTTGTATGAACGTATTTGAGTTTCTACAAATTATATTATCCCTTATTTCTTAGAGACTTCAAGAGGCAGGTAAGGAAGGAACTGAGGGAAGAAAACATGTTCTTCAGAAGCAAGTTCTTAAATAAAAGTTGCAAATATTGACTAGTCGTGGCTTAAATGCTATTAAATGTTTGTTATCCCCATAAATCCTGCTTCCTTACCAAGGTGTGGCAAGAGACTAACGTAGATGTTACCTACATAGAGAACACTGCCATACTGCAGACAGATCTGCCAGTCATCCTTGATCAACATAATGGAAAAATCATTTTCCTCTATTCGTTCACTTTTTCACTGCATCTGTTCCATAACTTATGGAGTTACATGTTTTTTTTTCCTTGAGCAAAAGAAAAAAATATATATAAAGGAAGTGTGAGTTTAAGTTCTAATAGAAACCAGTTAAAATTTAACTGAACATGAATGGCAATTTGAACATTTTACACCCATAAATGCAAACCAAAGAATTCAGAGAAGGGACAAAGCAAAAACAAGAATACGGTGACAGTGCCCATGGCCTCCTTACCTGCTGGCCTGTCAGGAACTCCCTCCTCCCCCACCCAACAGTATGTAACTAGCCACATCTTGGCATTCAGCGCTCAAGTTACTGAACAAAATAACGTTATCGTTCTGTTGTATCAATACAATGAGAAAACAGATTACCATAAGATTAATCAGACATCTTTTAATTTAGCGAAACCAGATTTTAATCTAGTTGTCCCATCGGACAACTAGACCATGCTAACGAACAGGTACACACCAACATCATATTAACAGGCATTTGTAGCACAAGGGAAAAGATGCCATCCTTGATCATGTGGCACTGCAAAACATCGCCACTCCTACCTATTAGTTCAGGGTTATTGTGTAACAAACCTACTGGGAAGGAAGCAGCTTGGACACACGTTTCATAACCTTGGTCAACACATCAACTCCAGAAACATCTCTGTGCTGAGGTATCCTCTGGCGTACCAGTCAAGTACCAGTCCCAAGTCTGTAATTCTGTTTTACAGTTGCAAATAATACATTATCAGAGTTGGTATAACTGAAATTTAACTTCAAAACACAGCAATAACTTTTGCAGCTTACTCTGGATTTTACATATTTTATTACAAGTGCATGACAGGTACCCATTTTGGCCAGAACTCGCAGCTTTATGCACGCCTTCTTTTTAACATTTAAATGCACATCCAGGTCAATCTGTCACAATTCTCAGCAGTAGATACCTTCTATGAAAATACTGCACAAAAGGACGCTGCAGATGCAATCTTCTTACTTAAGCCTCTGTTTCAGTTAACGTGCTGATGAATCCTGATTTCCCACAGCTGGGTCTCTTCCACGAGGACATCAGTACCCTTTCTTTCCTCTGAATCTTGCCCTGGCATCCAACTGAAAATTGAAGGCAATATATTAAGATCACACTACATTCTACAAAAGAAATATTTCAGAGCACTTACTCTGATGTTACTAGTGAAAAAATAGCATAAAGTGCAAAATAAGGCAGAAGTCACTGTACAGAAAATTAGTGACATAACCAACAAGTCATACGTTTTTTCCAGTTAAACACATATTATACTACCTTAAATCTCATACAAAGTTAAAATGAAGTGGCAAGAACCCTGTGCAGTCTTAAATAAACATTATAACACCACAAATAAAGAACAGCATTGGGGGCTGGCAAGGAACACATGAAAACAAAGGAGTGTAAATCTGCTTAGAGCTTTTTATTTTTTTCTCCCCACAAACAACTGATGAGTGGAATGAGTATAATTCAGGTTGGGTTTCAGTGAGAGTCACTGGAAATGTCAGTGAGGATAGGGATAACAAACACAGGAAGTGCCTGGGAAAAAAAAAGTCAGTAAAAACTGAAATAAATTTTCAGCCTATTAAAACTTCAAGTTCATTCCCGGCGGTCATAAAAAACAACATTTAATAGATGGCAAGTCAGTAAAGCTAAAATATAATCTCTCACGCAACCCCTACTGAAACTAAATTGCAAGTTCTTTCCCAGTAAAGCAGAAAAACATACTTTGATCTTGATAGAGTTCTTCCAAATTTAGATAGTCTTGAAGACTGCAGATATAGATTGCAATTGAGCCACATCCAGATATTAGATTGAGGCGGTATCTTATCTCCAATAATTGACCCTGTTTCAGAATTCAGAGCTGCAGCAAAATTAAAGAGCTAACCCACAACGGGCTTGTCCAATAACCAAGCAACTTCTGTTTTAAACACTGTTGCTACTTTTATATCTGAAGTGTACTAACGTTTATAGTTGCATTTATTTTCTACCTTTGTAGGAAGTACTCTTTGGGCCTCACTGTTATATCAAGTAATAGCTTTGGCAAAGCACTGTCACAACCATTTACAGAGTTAAGAGGACAGGAAAAACATCACTCTTCATCCTCAGAATTTGGAGCAGTTAAATGGAAGCAGGTACCGAGCCAGGCCTCTTCCCACATGACTGGGACACTTTGCTAGAACACTTGTTTCACCAGGCGTGCTTAATGATCTACAGACAGAAACACAGACCCATCATCCAGAGATCCAGAGACATGTGTATTGCAGCTGCAGTATCAAATGGTAGATATTTGAAGTATCACATACATAGCATATCTTTATGTCCATACAAATAACAATTTGTCACTACATGGATTAATGCAGTTCGTACAGGACGGGATGTTTAGGTTGGTTTCCAGCTGTATATCCCCCACTAGGTATCACAATTGGCTTAAAAAAAGGAGGGGGGGAGCTTTTATTACTAGTGTTTACAAAGTTTTGATACCATCTTTACCATGACTCAGCTATTTTAAATGCTACGGAAACACAAGCAAAGCGTTTCTGGATAAGGAACTCATACTAAAACCAGGGAAACATCATCTAATTACATTTTTACAACTGGTTTCTCACTACCTTTCTTGACAGCTCACTTAATAAAAAACAGGAACTCCTGCTCTTTTGAGACCTCCAAAGAAAAAAAAAAAAAACACACACCAGTGACTGCCTACCTTCAAATGCAGAAGCCTGCATCAGTGGTGAAAGTCCCTTTCAGCAGGACATCCTTCTAACTACAGAATTCTCTACACACATTTTTTCCAGTGACCTCACAGAAAAAAAATATTAGGCCTAAGTCAATATCTTAAGACTACATGACCCATAAATAGTGCTTAAATCAAAGCTTTACTGAAAGCAATACTGAGAATGTGCAACTCATTTACCTTAGCTGCCACATTTTAAGTCTGATTCAACGTAAACGTGCATCTCTTCCAGCTTATTTGCTCTACAAGTGTGCTGTTCTCAATGAGAACAGTGGGCAATATTCAAAGTTTAAAGGAGATTTAGAGGCAAGAACTGCCCCGCTTAGTGACACCAGCTTTACTGAAGTGTTTTGTTTAAAAAAATAATCAAGGATAGGGACAGAAAGCAGCCTGGCTGCTAGCGGAAGAAGCCACACAGGCACTTACCATCGACCTTTTGCACGCAAAAAACGTGTTTTGCAAGCTTCTACAGTGTCCTTCCCTCAAGCATTGCTTGGGGCTTTTGTTCTCCTGTTGGGCGACAGAAAAACGGTTATTGCCTTTATCTTTCGAGGACCCCCCGCACTCGGGGAAGCTGGAGCTGAGGAGAAGGGCTGGGGTCGGTGCCCCCCCTCACCTGCAGCACGCAGGGGCTCTCCAGCAGGCACTGCCTCAGGTCCTCCCGCACCCCCCCGCAGGCCCGCCCGTCCTCCTCCTTCTCCTCGTAGTACTTGGGCATGGCGGCTCGGAGCAAGCCCCCTCAGCGCTCTCTCTGACCGCTACGCCCCTCACCACCGCCATCGCCACCGCCCTGAGGCGGCCGCCGCCATCTTAGCGCTTCCCTCAGCGGGCGCGGCGCAGGCGCGGGGCGGCGGCGGCGGAGGAGGAGGAGGCTGCGGGTGAGGTGGGGGGCGCCGGGGGGGGACCCCGCTGCCGCTCCCCGAGGGGCTGAGGAGAGCCGGGGTCCCGCCGCCCCCGGCTGGCTCTGCCTTGCCGTGAGGGGGTGCGAGCCCTTGAGGGGGGCGCTGCGGCTGGGGGATGAGGGAGAAGGGGGGAAAAAGGGGGGAAAATGGGGAGCAGGGGGGGTGGGTGATGTGCTGGGGTGGGGAGGGGGTCGCGAAATGGCCGCCCCCGCGGAGGTGGGGGGGGGTCGCGAAATGGCGGCCCCCGCGCTCGCCCCTTCCCCCCGGGGCCTGCGTGAGGCGAGCTAAGCCGTGGTAATTCCCCCCCCTAGGTGCAGGTGCGGGGACGGGTCCCGATCGCCATGCTGCCCACCACCTCCTCCGGTGCCCGCAGCCAGGGCAACGGGGCGCTGAGCCCCCGCGACGCGGCCCGGCACACGGCCGGAGCCAAGCGCCACAAGTACCTGCGCAGGCTGCTGCACTTCAGGCAGATGGACTTCGAGTTCGCCCTCTGGCAGATGCTCTACCTCTTCACCTCGCCGCAGAGGGTCTACAGGAACTTCCACTACAGGAAGCAGACCAAGGACCAGTGGGCTAGGGACGACCCCGCTTTCCTGGTGCTGCTCAGCGTCTGGCTCTGCGGTGAGTGCGGGGCAGGCGGGGGGGGCCGCCTTTATAGCCCCTTCTGGCCCCTGGGGAGAAAAGTCCAGTCTGTGTGGAGTATCTCCTAATCAGAGTAAAGTAAAAAAGACCTTTCTGAAGCTAGAAAAACGGCAGCATTGTTGTAGTTCATTTGGACAAATCTATTTCAACTCGCTTCTTCCTGTATTCCAAACTAGCTGCTTCCCTGTAACCTCACTGACAATAACAAAGCCACGTCACGTAGCAGGGCTTTGCTTAAAAAGTACTGAACGTCTGGTTTATCTGAACATTATACTGTTTTTACAATATAGGCCTTAAGAAATGTTCTGTATATTGCAGAATTACACTAAAGAATCATAGACTATCCTGAGTGGGAAGGGACCCATAAGGATGATCAAGCCCACCTACACACAGTCACCCACATATAATTGTTAGACTGAATTGAAAACTCACTAAGAAGTATTACCCTCTTCTACATAGCACATTGCTGTTACTTACATCAAAGCTGTTAACTCCAAAATCAAAGTATGTATCACCAGATATATGGCTTTGGTTAACAACAGGCTTTTATGAAACAAAGAATATTCTGCTGTAGCGTTGTGTGAATTTTTAAAATAGTTGGGAGGGCAATAGGGTTTGGTGTTAATTTGCACTTGGGCTTAACATTAGCATTCTTCAATTTGTAAAGGAGTTACAAACTAATTGTGATGCACCTAGTATTTGGTGGAAAAAAATGAGCTGTTGGGCTGAAAAAATCACAAGGTGAAAAAGAAAACTGGAGATTTCCTAACAGCATACTCAAAAAAGAATATTGATTTACAATCTCATCCTTTCTTTTCTGCAGTTAACTTCAATAATCTTTTTTTTTTTTTTTCTATTTTTAGTGTCCACTGTAGGGTTTGGATTTGTGCTGGACATGGGTTTTTTCGAAACAATCAAGCTGCTTCTTTGGGTTGTGTTCATAGACTGTGTAGGTGTTGGTCTCCTGATAGCAACTTTAATGTGGTAAGTATGAACATCTGAAACTGAGTTCAGTATTGCTGTTGGGACAATGATAGTCTTCTGCTGTTTGCGAGATGCTTGGTTCCCTCTTTGGGGCAAAATTATAAAGTAAATTGTAGTGTTAACTAAAGGCCTTGTGCTGTTGATAGAGTTATTTTAGAATTTGCTTTTTTTTTAAAAAAAAAAGCCAAAAAAAAAAAGGCATAGTTTTCTTTACTGTTTCCTGGAGATGATGATGAATAATCAGTCTGTATTATGATGAACATTTCATTCTGTGTTCTTTCTTCCTGAGCTGGTTGGCCTTCAGCAATAATACCAGATCAGAAAGTTGGTGATCAAAAAAGAAGCTTCATTCCTTAATTTGGTTGAATAGCTTGGTTAAACAACATAAGCCTGAGGATGATTATGTTTAAGTAGGGTTGTATAAAATCGGTCTGTGCTTATTGCTGAAGATTTTAGCTATTATTTCCACTATAAGCAACGTCTCTCTTTAATATCTTTATTATGTCTTTAATATCTGACTTGGATGAGGGAATTGAGTGCACCCTCAGTAAGTTTGCAGATGACACAAAGTTGGGGGGAAATTTCCATGTGCCAGAGGGTAGGAAGGCCCTGCAGAGGGACCCGGACAAGTTTGGTCAATGGGCAGAGGCCAACAGGGTGAGGTTCACCATGGCTAAGTGCCAGGTTCTGCACTTTGGCCACAACAACCCCATGCAGCGCTACAGGCTTGGGGCAGGGTGGCTGGAAAGCTGTGCAGAGGAAAAGGATCTGGGGGAGCTGATTGATGCTCGCCTGAACATGAGCCAGCAGTGTGCCCAGGTAGCCAGGAGGGCCAACAGCATCCTGGCTGGTATCAGGAACAGTGCAGCCAGCAGGAGCAGGGAGGTGATCGTCCCCTGTACTCTGCTCTGGTGAGGCTGCATCTCGAGTGCTATGCTCAGCTTTGGGCCCCTCACTGCAAGAAGGACATCGAGGCTGTGGAGCGTGTCCAGAGCAGGGCTACGAAGCTGGTGCAGGGCCTGGAGCACAAGGCCTGTGAGGAGTGGCTGAGGGAGCTGGGGGTGTCTGGGCTGGAGAAAAGCAGGCTCAGGGGAGACCTCATTGCTCTCTGCAGCTACCTGAGAGGAAGGGGTAGGGAGCTGGGGGTCGGCCTCTTCTCACAGGTAACAGTGATAGGACCAGAGGGAATGGCCTCAAGTTTCACAGGGGAGGTTCAGGCTGGCAATGAGGAGACATTTCTGCTCAGAAAGAGCAGTCAGGCGCTGGGACGGGTTGCCCAGGGAGGTGGTGGAGTCACCGTCCCTGGGGGTGCTCAAAGAGAAGTTAGGCCTGGTGCTTGGGGACATGGTTAGTGGGTGACAGTGGTGGCAGGGGGGTGGTTGGACCTGATGGTCTTGGAGGGCGTTTCCAACCTTAGTTGGAAAAGTCAGGAATCAGATACATACGAGAATGGCAGCTGATAGATGAACGGCCTATCTCATTTTCTGTCCTGTCTGGGGCAGCAGCCCATAAAGTGCCTGAGGAGGAGCATAAGTATAATGCTTCCTGAAGTAGACTCCTAGAATCAGTAATACCTTTCTTCTCCTCCAGCAGTTTGTGTCTCAGGCTATGCTGTCCCGAACCAGAAATATTTCTGTGTCTGCTGAGTTTCCTCTGTCCTTGAGTCAGCTTCCTACAGGCCTAAGTACCAGTCACCTGGCTCCACTTTGGTTCTAGTCCTTGCTTCCTGTACACTCACCTTTTCTGCAAAAGCTTCCCGCGTTCCTAATGAATCTAAACCTCTTCTTGCCTTGCTTTACTCTGCATCCAGGGTCTGCCTCTTTTGGTACAAAGAGTATTTCAGGGAAATTTACCACAAAATCTGCAGTCTCAACTTCTTATTTCTGAGCACGTATTGACTTCTTGTTCCACTTGTAAAAGGGATCATTTTTCTGATGTCTAGACCTTAAGCTGAAGAAAATGTAAAGTCTCGAGGTTTGTTTTGTAGTCTAAAACACCAGCAGTGCTCATTGTTGGGTGTCTTTCTCCCATGTAACAGAACCCTTAGAGCACAGAGTTAGGATCACGTGTGGCTGACTCTCAGGCCAGTGTTTTGTCAGTCAACTTCAAAGCTCTGCGTTAACTTTGTTCTCAAATGTCTCTTCGTGTAGGTTCATTTCCAATAAGTACTTGGTAAAGCAGCAGAACAGAGACTATGACGTGGAGTGGGGATATGCCTTTGATGTTCACCTGAATGCCTTCTATCCACTTCTAGTCATTCTGCACTTCATCCAGCTGTTTTTCATCAATTGTAAGTAGACTTCGTGTGTCTTCTCTGCTCTAAAATCGTGCTCAAAGGCAACAGCTGAGAGCAGTTGTTTCTTTCAGATGTCATCATATCTGACTCAGTCATTGGATATTTTGTTGGGAACACGTTGTGGCTGATTGCAATTGGCTACTACATCTATGTGACATTCCTGGGATACAGTGGTAAGTATTAGACTAACATGATGCTCTTCCTTTCAGTCAATTTGAGTTTAGTCTGTTAATTTGTCAAGCAGAGGCTCAGCTGGGTGTTGAAGTTACTCTCCATGGTAAAAGAAGCTTGGTAAAAATGTACATTTTCAGATGGGTAAGGAGCAGCAGCAGGCTTTATGTTCTTCGCTGTACCAGCCTGGTGTTCTTTTAGACCTGTAACAACTTAACTTAGCTTTCTTTTTCCTCTGGAAATCCACTTCAAAATGTTTGCACTGGATAAAAACTCTGTATCGAGTTGAAGTGTATAGTTTTAGGTAAAACAGTTTCTTGGGACTTTACCTGTACTGCTTAAGTCAAGTACTCTTAAGTCAGTGGTGATAGTAGGACTGAGATGATAGAGATGACGGGCCTGTTCCTCTAAGAAATGTGGCAGAGGGGTGGGTAGCATTTTTTCTTGCTGTTTTTCCCCAAGGCCATTCTAGATGAAGCACCTTTTTGGGAAGAGCACTACTTCACACACGCTTTGTTGTTGTTTCTTTTGCAGCATTACCGTTTTTGAAGAACACAGCTATTCTTTTGTACCCTTTTGCACTTCTCATCATGCTCTACTTGATCTCCTTAGCATGTGGATGGAACTTCACCAAGATGCTTTGTTCCTTCTATAAATACAGAGTGAAATAAAACCAGGACTTCACCAATCTAACGTTTATTTTGGTTTTATCTTAGCTGTCTTGATGATAAAGAAAAACAGTTAAGAACTTATTGTAAATGGTTGTAAATTTCTCTTTATTGTAGATAATTGTGTAAAAAAAAGTTTGAAGTGTCATTTTTATTAAAATATTTACAACAGTAAACATG